CATTGGTATTAGTGGTTAAACAGATAACACGTTTCCTGGATATACTGACTCCACTGCTTCCTTAGCTCAGCTTTGCAGCAGAGCTGTTACATCAGCTGTGCTACAAAGGCATGTGTGCCTTCCAGATTATAAAACATTGAGCTGGAAGTTAATGACTGATTGCAACAGCCGTTACTGAAACTTGTAAGAAAAGGAGAGCAACAACTTGCAGACAAAACAACGCCACGTGACACCTGGAGTGAATCACCTGCAGGATGAGCCTTTCAAAGAAACACCTCACATTTGATGTTAAGCCCCCAAACTGTTCTGGCTGTCGGAGGACTTGCCGGGGAGATAGAAATGTCTAAAGTTATTACAGCAGTCAGGTAAAGTGTGGGGCAACGCGGTCCTGTAATAGGGGTGGAGAGTTGGCCAGCAGCAGCTAATGAAGGCGTCTCGGGGAGTACTAAAGAGTCTACGTGACACTACTCCTGATTTGCCTGTCTGAGGACACAGATCAATTAATACATTAACAAACGATCGCAAGCACTTCATCTTGCAATATGAAACCGGCGGCCTGGACTCGCTGCCCTCCCGCCCAGAATGGCTGATCAGCTTTGCCTCTATACACCGTCCGCCATGAATTTCAACATCTTCTGCAGCTTAGGCTGCCAACGCCTCCATGTGGGTTTATAATGTCTCACCAGAGGCTGAGACCATATGCACGCATTGTAACCACAACACATGCTGTACATACTGTATATGCACTGTGTGCAATAAGGGCAGATGTAAGAGTGCTTCAGGCTATTCTTCATCTTCTAAGAAAATCTAACTTACTGATACAATTTGCAATATAATGCACCATATAAGACCAAATCACAACAGCTTTGATTGAACGTCTGCCTAAGGGGAATCCACTCTCACTAATGACCACAGCTCCAAAGCCTGAAACTGGCTCCTTCCTGATATTTAAGCTTCTGCTTGTGGACATCTCTGTATTTCTTTTGCAGATAAAAACAATGGATTAATGCAAGCCAAACACACCATGTGAACAGCCTGCGGCACACTTGAGTGCATTGGTTGGGGAAGTCTAACGTAAACCATTGCTCCTTGCCATGCCATATATATCCAGTCTCCCCATTACCACCATCTCTACTCGACAGCGAGGGCCCTGCACTGCTAAATTATTCATCACACTGAAGGGAGGACAGAAGCATGCATGGTTTCTCCACTCCATGCCTCTTCCCTTTTTCTCTCTGTCTCTAATGCAAAGGAACAGCCGGGTGGAGAGAATGATATACAGGCCATCTCTCCATCACTGTGTGGCCATCGCAGGAGATGTCGCCTCCACTTCCTCCAATTACCACAGTGGAGTTGAGGTTGGGTTTGGGTTGTGCTGTGGCAGACCTAAGGGTTGCTGGCTTGCCTGCCATGCATATGGGGGAGAAAGGTGGGTGGCACCCAGGGGCCCCATGCATAACCTGGGACGTCTTTGTACACACATTCATCTATATCAGTGGGCAACAGGGAAATGTAAGCCAAAGGTAATTGCCCTGGATAAGAACATCTGCTTGGTGAATAAATATTCTAATGAGGGGAGCTTGCAGGTTCCCCAGACTGATGCGCGGCTGACAGGCCTCCGGAGGGACCGCAGGTAATGCTCACCACCTGCAATTCAAACAGGAGGCGGTCCCGCCCTCCTCTCGCAGCTAAATGCTGGCCGACTAACACACACACACACACACACACACACTCTGTAGATAACAGGGATGGGTGGTAAATCATTGATCAAGCACTGGCTGTGATGTTACTGTTCTCAGGAATGACATGTGCAGCGCAATACTCAACACAAAATAGTTTCACTTCACATTGCCCAGCAAATGTTCTGCTGCTGAAAAGATGCTGATCGAAGGGTCTGCAGCAAAATCTAAAGACGCCCATAATTCTATAACTGTGCTGCCCGCAGTGTCGTGTGAAGTTCAAACCATAATATTTTCGAAAATTGTATAACTCCTGCCTGTTCTCACTTGTCATTTACTGGCTTAGCAGTCAAAAGGTTATGTCACTGGCTCCATTATTATATTAGGGCACCAGCTAACATTCATTTTCATTCTTTTAGTCTATTTATGAGTTAATTATTCATTTTTTCTAGTCCATTAATCTGTTTTCTGCTTATTTTTCTTTGTGTTCTTTATGTTTAATCGATACATTATTTAGTCTACATGTCACAAAATTGTGAAAAAGGTCCATCATAATTTCCCAAAACACGCTGCTTTGTTTTCAAATTGCTTGTTTTGTTATGACTAAAGAACTTTATTGTCCACAATGTGGAAAATTGTCTTCAGCTTCACCACACAGCGTTAACAATACAGCAGAATTGACAACAAAAGAGAATTGATTAGGACAAAAAGCATTTGTCACACCAACGGTCCAAAACCTAAAGACATTTAATTGAAAGTGATACGAAACAGTGAAACGCACCAAATCCTCACATTTGAAAAATTGGAACCACAGAATATCTAAATTGTTGTCGGTTTATTTTCTATTGATCATTGTAATTGTTTCAGCACATTCACCATCACTGTAATGTTTTTTGTTTTTTTTCATATTAAAGTTTCCCAAACACTGATATCCATCCCCTGAATTTAAACCTATCCAGTCTGACATCACGTTTTAGGACAACTAACAAATATTTTGATTATTTTTCTTATGATTTCATCAATCAATTAGTCAACACAATGTATTTTATTGTCAAAAAGGCCCATAACAATTTCCCACAGCACAAGGTGGCACCTTCAAATCGCTCTTTTTGTTCAAAAAAATGCAAAGATATTAAATTTACAATGATATAAAACTGAGAAAAGGAGCAAATCCTCACGTTTAAGAAGCTGGAGCCAGTAAGTTTTAATTGATAAATGGCATAAACAATTAATATGTTACCTAAATTGATGTCAGTTAACATCTTGTTGATGACATATAGTACATACATATAGTAACTGACTTATCATTTTAGCACTATATCACCTTTTTATTTTTGTTTGAGGTATTCTAAATACTAATTTAGAACTTTAATACTTTTACTTTTTACCTCACATGTAGTCTTCATCTTAGCTGCAGCTAGCCTGGACTCAAAATAGTAAAAACATCCACTTTGTCAAGTATGGAAATATTCACAAATTTTTTCTTTTTTGAGCAAAGCTTTACCATCAACACTGGACATTTTGCCACTGTGATCATTCAGGAATCAGGTATTCTGTTACTTTGAAGCAAAAAGGACATCATTATCCATTTTAGAGTTATAGAGGGAAATGATAAAATAAGGAGTCATGTATTAATTATGGTTACAGCAAATAACAGATATGCTGAGAGAAACAGCCCACTACAGGACAAGAGGCCCACTGTCACACCGATGAGCCTACAGGGCTGTAAACTGTCAGCATTACTGCTTCACTCTATTCGGCCTACATCTGTGTGTGGTCATCGCTCCGACCGGCTGCAGGGCAAATTAATGATCAAACTGAAAGTGGAAAAAGGTGAGCTGCTCAGAGCTCACACCTTCAAAGAGGCAAGAAGACAGTGACGAGCCCCTATCAATAAGCATCAATGCCCAGGATACATCACAAGAGAAGCGCTTTGAGCATCAGGGAGGCCTGTATTGGAGTGAGGCCTCAAAAAACACACAACACCACACGCTGTATTATTTCCCTTTCGTTATGACATAATTTGGAAACCACACACCTTCCTGTCACTTCCAATGTACTTGAAAACAAAAAAGCAAACTTTTCTCGTGGTTCAGATTTGAGCTCATTTCTCCACAGAGTAACTTTGGCCTCAAAACATCCTCTCTCTCCAGACATCTGAGCTTTAAATCAATACCCTGTGCTGTTTCATTCATAGCATACTTAACATGGTTTTGTAATTCATGTTTAGCTCTCACTTCCAAGTAAAAAAAAGTATTAAGTCATAATGGAGTCATCCACGTAATATAACTTTCCCCCCAAAAAAGATGATCTCTTTCCAGAAATATGAACTCACGATCAATAGTCACACACACACACACACACACACACACACACACATACAGTCTGCATGAAACACATCTGTAACTGCATTACTGCTCAAACTGTTTACAGTGGCAATGCTGGAAATATGTGTTGCATCGAAAAATAATTTAATTTACTCTGTATTTCTATGAAGGTACAAAATACAAGTTAGCAAAACAGCGGAGGATTAAAATGATCAGCAATGTGCATCAGTGAAAAATGAGGACAAAAAAAAGTGTGTAAACGCAAAAACAGCGAGCACTGTGCGGTTATTGTTGCGGTGAGAATACAAACCACAGAGGAGACAAAACCAATCTGACTAATCATACATGATCTCAAACTGAATTAATCAGCAGCTCTGGTTAAGAATCTGTAATCATCCTCATTCTGCGCTTAATGCTGCTTAATTTATGAAAAGACAAAAATAGGAGGAATTCTGGCTGACTTAGATGTATGGGCAACAAAAACAACAACATCACAAAAAGCGTTTGAACCACAGCGTAGACGAGGAAATCAAAATGTGTCCCCAGAAGACCCTGAGCAGCTCATTCTCAGACGCCGGCGTTAAATCGGAGATATAGTTTAAATTGGTAGACATGCGGCATGCTGGGTAGTCACGAAGTTGAATAACAATACTTATTATAGGTATTAGTTTAAGTAACAACCGCACTTCAACATCCTCTCTCATTTAAAGGCTGAAGAAATCCGACTCGTACACGCAGGCCTCTATAGCATCTGGCTGCAGCATCCAGCATCAGTAAAACACACGGAAATGGAAAACTATAAGCTCTGTTCATGCATGTGGGAGGTGCAACACCACACACACACACACACACACACACACACACACTGTACATACTCTAGGGGCTGAAACACACTCTGACGCATACGCCACACACAATATACACACCAACTCTCTGCCCATGCCGGAGCAGTGTGAGCGCAAAAGAGATCCACACTTTGTGGTCCGGTACTCACCCAAAAGTACATCATCATGGTGGATGCGGGACAGTTGTGGGCAGGCGGGTGGAGGAGAGAAGGGCCGAGCACTGGGACCAGTCCAGCCAGTGTGGGTGTCAAGAGGAGTCCGAGCGATTGGACAGAGAGCTTTACTGGTCCCTGTTCCACTGAGGCAGCCCTCCCTCTCAACTGTTCAATGGGGCTTGACTTGAGGTTTCCCCCTTCTTCTTCTTTCGCTTCTTTCTCTACAAGCAGCTTGCTCTTCAGTTAATTTTTAAAAGCCCCCTTTTCTTTCTCTTCTTCTTCCTCAGAGCCAACACAAGAAAGAGGGGGGGAAGCAGATGGGAGAAAGGAAAGAGAGCTGGGGAGGTGTTGTAACCTCTTTTTTCTTTTGACACTCTTCCACTCCACTTGCCTCTCCACACCACTCAGTTCGAGACTCTCCCTCTGTCTCTCTGCTCTCTCTCTCTTTCCCCACTGTGCCGTCTCTTATTGGTGAATGTGAAATCAGTCGGTACGGCGCCGAGGCTCAACTAGAGCAGCAGCAGCAGCCTGCGCTTGACAGCTGCCTCCAGCGTTCCTCCACCGGAGCCGTGTTGCTCTGCATAGAGGAGTGCGCCGAACAAACCGGGATCCTGCAGACGGTACTGTAAAATTCAGCGTCCCAGGGAGGTGGGGGTGGGGGGTTGGGAGGGTGAGGGAGGAAGGGGGGAGGCAGGAAGCTGGGAGTCGTGGTGGAGAGCTCTGCGGGGATGAGGGGGGGAAGACGGAGGGGAAGAGGGGGGGAGAAGGAGGGAAGGAGGGGGAGAGGCTTGTGTTGATGATGATGCTGGTGATACTGGAGGACTAACAGATTGCTCCTCTTTCTTCTTTTCACTGTCTGTGACTGAGATGTTGCACTGAAGTTGTGGCAGTTTTAGTTCATTGAAGAGAAGAAGAAGAAGACAATGCTGAAGAGAAAAAAAAGGGGGATCTCAGAGAAAACCTTAAAGTATGCCACAGGCAATTGGGAGGCACAGCCTATTTTTTTTACTTGTTTTCTACTTTTAGCTGCTGATGTTCGCTGCCTTCATGTGTGTGCGCCAGTGCTTTTTCTTTTATTTCCCCAGTGCACACAGCCAAACTCATAGGGTGGTGACCAGGAGTGTGTTTGGTAAAAACCTTTTTAAGACAGATCAGAGGCCAGATGAAGTTGCTGTGAAACACCTTTGTGTGCCAAGCTATATTACATTACATGCTTTAGTGTGTTTTCCATCTGGCGGCTGTAAAGGGGGAGGGGAAAACGGGAGAGGGAGGGGGTAGGCTTGGCTATCTTCTAGACAGCACTGTAACAATGAGCCTGCCTCAGCAATTTTCAAAACATATCATCAATACACGACTGGGAGCTCTCGCTTTTAAATATTAACCCTGTGGCAACCGGGGGAGGCTGCGGAGAGCTCGAGTGTTTTTGCGGCATCCTCTGGTGCCGGATCATCCAATAAAAGACGTCCTGGGGGATGAGCTAATTTGCTGTAGGATCCTAAAGAACATTTGCCAGCTATAGAGAACACTACCGTAATGAACAGAGCAGATATATTCAGGCTATGTTACCCATCAGTAATTGCCACATAAGGAGACTGAGTTAAATTTGCAGCTGGCTTTGAGCGAATTGATACACAAGGGGCCTCATTCATATGGCGTAACTGTCATCTTAAATGTATCACCCATTTTATTTTTCCACCTCCATCAGGAAAGCACAAGTGAACGCTGAAATATGAAACGACATAAAGGCAGTCTAAGAATCGCAATTAGTGATTTTCGCAAATATGATATTTGAGAAGATTGGTTTATTTTAGAAGAGACCTGCACATTTGATAAATCAAGACAGATATTATAAAATGATTTGACCGCTCCTCTGTGTTTACCTATCCGTCACATCACAATCCAGCCTTTGCCTACACATCTCTTATTTGTGGCATTGTCATGCACATACAAGCCCTCCATATCTTTATACATGTCCACCAGAACCCAATGAATTTACATTAGCAATCACAGAGTGGGTAACCGCCCCACTCCTCCATCAATCTCTGATGGGAAATAAAAATGAAATGCACTTCTCAGGCAACTCGGATTAAGGATCACGCTTTTATCAAATACTAAAGTCTATTTCAAGTCGTGTTCATAAATAACTGAGGGGAGAGAGGGAGGAAAGGAAAAAGGGTGGAGGCAAAAAAAAGAGAGAGAGACCGCAGGGAAAGAGGCAGACAGGCGGGGGTGGTGTGGAGGTGGTGTGGATGTAGACAGAGAGCATCAGGGTCTGAAGCTAAGGGCACTTGGGGTTGGAGGGATTAGGAAATAAGGTAGAAAATAAGAATCTGAGGGCATTTCAGCATCATATAATCCCCACAACTCCTTTCCAGGAATCTCCTTCAATTACAGATGAAAAATGGAATTTGGGTTAAGATGGCGCTGCTCAGGGAACAGACCTGGTCTTCCCTGCTTCCTGTCTCCCTCCCAAGCTGCAATTCTCCCATGCTCCACGCTTCTTACCAAGAATGCAAGTGGCTTTCCTAACCATTTAGATTTCACCATAGTCTAGACATTCCCCAGAGACTCTGGCAACCATTATAAAGATAGAGCTTTTCAATGAGAAGAGGAAGTGAAGGCCTCACACAGAGCGCGTTGTGTCTAAAATGTCCGTCTGTCTCCGATCCTCACTGACTCGAGGTCTCTCTTAATATTTTATGATGATCTCACCTCCCCTCTGTAGTGTGCTGCTACTTACAGAGCATCTTCTGTCAAACTACACTCGGATCTCTGTCATTACAAAGACAACAGAGGAGACAATGAGCCTGACTTCCCCCGAGTTCTCACTCTCAACCCCACAGAATCCCACCGGAGTTCTGGGCTATAGTTATGGCGAGCTCGACCTATCGTCCTCATTCATCAAACACTCAGCCCTGTGCTGTCTGGTCTCAGGTGGTGTGAGACCTGGTTGGTTGGCGGAAGACAGGAAGAGACGCTGTTCCATCCTGAGTCTCCCAGGTTACTTTTCTCTAATGACACACTTCACTTTATGGAGTGACCTGTTTTACAACTCGCTGACATGGATCCTCAGCTGTGCTCGTTTTATCTGTCTTCATCAGCTCCACAGGTAAGTATTGACATTTCTATACTAAATACTGCACATCATGAAAGTAAGGCTGTGCAGAGTGATTCTGTTCTGAAATGCTGCACTAAAACAACATGAAAATGTAAGTTTATGGACCTTTTTCTTCTGTCCTTTCTCTCTCCGTCCCTTCTTAAGAATCAAGATTGCAGCATATTAAGATTGTTTTTTGTGGCATTTGAGTACTGTGACAAAGTGTAGCTTACATTAAGCAGTGCGCCTAGTGACTGACATGTTTTCCCCTTGGGGCTCTCCATAGCTGTACAACCCCTGATTTGTTTGCTGCTGAGATTACTGCAAACCTGTATACATGACTGCTGGGGATGCCAACTCCTGTACACACTCGCTGCTCTTGATAATTCCTATACATCCAAAGCTGCTCCCCATGAAGGTACCCTGAAGGATACCAAAGATGCAACATAAGGGCTTTTATTTTTGTTATTTTAAGTTATGGACTTAAGTAAACATTCCACAAGTTCAATGATTCCACTGAAAGTAATTTAAAATTAACAATTTCAAAGGATAATGTTGTGCATTCAACTCAAGACCTGCACATCCTGTTGGTGTGCTGTGCACGCTGGCCTAAACGTTGCACAACGGACTGTAAAAACCCCTAAACTAATGTTTGATATATTTAGAGATCTGGACCTCTGGACTTGATTTTCCTGGCACCGTGTAAATAGTGTAAATGGTTGTCCGTCTATAAATATGTCAGCCCGATGTTAGACTGACAGCTTGTCTGGGGAATACCCTGCTCCCGCACCCCACAACCCTGCACAGGATAAGCAGGTATGGATTATGGGTGTATGGGTTTTAAGCCTCAACCGCACTTTATTTTTGTGTTCATTTTGTGAAATAAAATTGAATGGGTGATAAGTTAGCTTATGGGTGGGCCGTGACGCACTGTAATGGACATATTGTGTTATGCCATCAAGACATCCTGACAGTCAATAAATATGCATAAAATAACAAGGAAATTCATGCTTTTAGTTATTCCTTTAACTCAAGCATTCTGCCATTGCCTGCGTATTTAGCCTTGAAAACTGTAATGTTTTGTTTCCTAGCCCTGGAAGACATCATTAAACATCATTTGTAAGCATACATTACACTATACGCAGCAAATTGCCCATCTGGTGATTTTGGAGCTCACTGTCTGTGAAACAATAAATCTATTGTATGGCTCCACGTAAAGAATCGCACTAAAGTAACGCCTTCATGTAGACATACATCGAGTATATTAAACATAGACCTGTGCACAGACTGTATGTAGTGTTAATAATGCAGTGTTTACACCCTGGCGTTGAGCAGGCAGTACTGGCCCAGGGCTGCAAACTGGCAGGGCTGTGCAGTAATTAGGGGCTGTGTGTTGGGGATGTGAAGGCTTGCTGCGTGTCATGCTGGTACCACTGCCGGGCAGACCTGGTGTGCTGGCAGCAGGCACACAGAGTGCTACACAAGGCCACGCCTTTCTGTCACAGCGGGAAGTTGCACCTTTCACTTAAACCAGCGATCCTGCAGCCTGTGAGCCCTGTCATTTCTTTGCGGTCCAAGAAGGGACACAGAGGTTGTTAACGCCAAGACAGCGGTCGTTCACGACGTGAGCAACATGTCTGATCTGTGTGTTCATGCACACAGAAATATTAGGAGTTTGAAAATAAGCAGTGCATATTAACTTTTAATGCTTTTGTCCGGTGTCATACTTAAAGGTTGTGCATACAACCTTTGTTACATGGCCATTTTTGTTTTCATTGAAATCTATTGTATTTTTATTTTTGTCTTTGCATGTCCATGTTGGATTTATTTATTTTAATCTAAATCAAATCACTTCTGTTGCACTCTAACCGTGGATGTATAGACAATTACGCGGATAACTTTTGATTTAGGAGACAAGGCCTAAACATGATTATAAGGATGAAAAGTTAGTTAGTTTTTTATATATGATTTTATTTATATAATTTTTTCAATTAATGGTCATCTATCCATAGTGAATGCCAGAGATACTGATATATTGAAAACACTGCACTGATTCCAACAGTATGTATAACTTGTGTGTGTACTGGTTTTACTAATTTATGATTTTGAAAGGAAAGGGTGCAATTTTGACACAAATTGCATCATTTGTGTAGAGAAGACTTAAAGGCACACACCAGCAATTTAGTGATGAACTAAACTGAACTCCCATAAAGTGGAGGGACTTGCATGAGACAGATTAAAAATAGAGAAGTTGAAATCAAAACAGCAGAGACTGATATATATTGACTTAACAGTTAAAAAAACTCTCCAAAAACACAGTGTCCTACATTTCCCATAATGCAACCCTGCAGTGTCTTTTCATTAGATCTTTCCTGCTTTGTAAATGCCAACATGTTTTGAACTCCACACCTCCCATTTGTAACAAGGCTTTCTGTTACAAATTTGTTTGCAAGCCCATGCTGCAGTAACTCTGACATTACTGTGACATCATTAGGGTATTTTTCTCAGATTGACAAAGCTCTTAAAGAGCTACATAACATATTATACTTTCATCAAATGAGCAGTACGAAACACCACCATCCATAATAAATGAAATGCTATTCTTTTAAGAAGGTGCCATGATGAGACTTTTGAGCTATGAAAATATTGGTTTTATTATTTTCCTCCTTGATAGACTTTATGACTAATAACTTAAAAACAACTTCTGTTTTAATTGAAACCCAAATCTCTGTCAGCTGTCGTGTCTGATGTCTTTTTCATTTGTTGCATCTTTCAAAGACTTGTTTCCTGGTTACAGTGTGTGCTGTGTGTGTCAGTACATGCATGTTTGAGTTTTCCTTTGAATTCATAACTGTACATGTTATACACAATATTTGTACACATACACTATATAACTATTTTTTCATTGTACAAGCTGCAGGCTCTTGCAGTTGTGAAGAGAGACATTCAGTAGCTTTGCCACTTGAAATACAACTACACCCAACTGGAATCCTAACAGCCTCTTGCATCTCCGTTTGACATTAATTGATAATCATACAAGCCTTCACATTAGACATTTATGAGATCAGCTGAATTATCTATTTAATGTAACCCAATTATATGCAACCCTTGTGCACCAATCAACAGTAATTCCCGACGCATAAATGACAGCTACAACGACAGATTTAATCAATAATAACCATTGATGAAAACTTGGGACCCGCTTCGAAAAGAGGGTAATTAATACGACCAAAATTGCTTGCTGATTTTCTTTTTTTCTTTAGGAAAATTGCTCTGTTATGGTCATGGTTTGTGTCTTTCACAAGAATCTCTTCTGTATGGCAGCTCACATTCCAGCTCCAGTGAGAGTAAGCATAAAACAAACATTAAATTTCCCTTTGATAATTAGGGATAGACAGTAGCATTGCTTCTAAACACAGGCTTCAACTGCTCCAGCTCTTAATTAAAAGCTTTAAGTTGATGTCATAAAACTACTACTACTATGGCCAGAAAAGACATCTTTTTTATGCCTCACATGTGACTTTCCTACATGAAGCGAGAAAGTCTGATATGTTGCTTAGATATGGTGGGGTTTCTTAGTCTTACATCCACAGCAGAGGAATGTCACATCCTGTATGTGGAGTATAACTTCAACTAACACATGTCAACAGAGTAGACATCAAAAGCAGCTCATTAGAGACTTTGGGGAATTCTGCACCTGAAGCCTGTTTGGGTTCAACAGAACCACATGAAACTCTTGTGACAAAATGGAGGTAAGTGTGCACACAGGGGCCTGCTGCTCTTACCAGTCTTGTAAAGAGGGGCACTCCCAAATGCCAGAGGTGATCGTTCAGCAGTCCGCTGTATACCACGTTCCCGAAGACAGCAATGCTTCCTGACTTACACAACGTGTTTCCTACGGGGACACAAAGAAACACAGGTAGGCGTCATTTAAACAGACAGGAAGCAGCCAGGGGCAACTGCATGCACTCTAGCAGAAAGACACTCTTCTCTGAGAAAAGAAAAGGAAAATTCATTGCACAGAAATAATACAGAACACATCATCGATTGTTCTAAATATTGATTTCAGAGGTTTACTGAACATACAGTAGATGTAATGATGAATATAGATAGAAAGCTTGTCCACAATCAATAAAGTTGCACAACTGAGCCAGTCCTATCTAACAACACAGTATAGAAAAAAATATAGTAAATAACCATTTGAGGTGCAACAGAAGATGGCAAAGAGGAGAAAAATATAAAACCTCAAAAAAAGAAAGTGTCAGAGCCTAAACCTTTAAATATTTTATCATCACTTAAAACCTCTCATCAAGCACTCTTTTTCTTGCACAAGCTTAAACATGACACAATATACAATAAAATGGTTACTCTTGATACTCATGATACTGGTTTTGAAAAGGTTGCACTTCAGAGTTTACTATCAAAAAGTCACAATTAGTCTAAGAGATAGTAAACCAATTTTAAAAAGGCACGTGATGCATATGAAAGTTTTTCTCTTTTACTTTAAAATACAATTTTTATGTTCTGCTTTGCTGTTACAAAAAAGCAACTGAGTTTGTACGATATGTACTTTCCTGAGGTTGATGCCATTCAACCAGATGGCATCCAAAAACAAGCCGTATCATGATAAGTTTCCAATATTATATTGTTTAAAACTGATCTTCTGACATTTATTTTATATATTCTGTTTTATGTGTAGTGTGGAACTGATGTTGCTGCTGCTTGTCTTGGTCAGGACACTCTTGAAAAAGAGATTTTTAATCTTAACAGAGAGCTGAAGTCCTGATGTAAATTCAGGACCAACAGTAACTTCTGTCACTGAATGCATCATGAGTTTCTTTCTGTAAAAGTAAAACTCTGTTTCTGTTTACTATCCAAATTCAAAGATAAAGTTTGCATGGATCAGATTAGCATGAGGGGCCAATGTGTGACCACAACACAAATGAAACCCATAATATTCTCAATTTGGAACAAGCACACAGCAAAGAGCTACTTTACGCAAAATAAATAAATAAATAAATAAATAAAACAACAAACAGGAAGTTTGCCAACAATTTCAAAATACAAAACCACCAAAGCAATTGTTCACCTAACGGCAGTTCATAACAGGTCCTTAAAACAAGAATATGAAAATGAGTGACCAGATCGGAAAGAGAGCCTTTATCAAGATTACAGTGCACTGAACTACCTCAGTTTCTTTCATCAAGATACGTTTGAATTCAACAGTATTTTGTTTAGGCAGTTTTGTATAGTAAAATATACATTTAAATATATATTAAAATATTTAAATTTTTTATAACCTGTTGAGGGGGAGAAACCTAGTCTAGCCATCCCATGTTCCTCATGACGCATGTAGGTCATATCAATGATACCCACTATTTCTCTCTTCTGATATTGTCTCCAACATTTTAGCTGTAATTGAAAAAGAAATCTCACTTCTTGTCCGTTCTCATAGCTCTTCACTCAACTGGCCTCGGTATGTCAAACTGCTGACACAAAGGGTTTGGGCTTGTGGGAATTTTGTTTTATAAACCATTCTTGTATAGACAGGTGGGGTGAACGGAATAGTGCTGAATAAGTTTATATTCCAAGGCTTGGTTTTTTAGTTAATTTCATTATTAGGCATTCCCGGTTAATTTTGGCATGAGGCTTTGCTAGTTAAAGGTGAAAAAAAATCTAACAGCATATGACATATGACCTATGACAGATACACAACAACACTGGCATACTGTCAAGCCTTCTGTAAAATACATCAACACTACTATCCATTGTAAGTTGTGTCCACTGCCACTGAGCCTCGGCACACAGTCCACCCTCTCAACGACACTCTTAATTAGCTCAGTGCCAATGAGTGGCCTTCAGAAACAAAAACACACATGCATGCATGCCCACACACGTCCCCAAGAGTGTGATGTACTGCACACCGATGTCCCCATGTATGTGATGAATGCAGCTTATGGAGTAGGCAGCACAGAAAACACAGGTCCCCATTGTAATTTCTGCACAAAGGAATGCTGCAAAGGCTCACCAGGGGTGGAGTGAAGCAGTGCTGACAAGCAGCACATGCATTATTTAAAAACAAAAGTAAAAAATGCCCATTAAAGTGTCAGTGGTGCTTTCGGCAGTGCTGGCTTGGGCGCGGTGTGCGTATTACTGTTATTAATGGGCCAGGCGTGGGGGGCATTTCTTCAGTGTGATTGCTCTGCTGCTGTTGCTATCCACGGTTCAAGCCTCCCCCCCACTTTTTTTCTCCATTTCTTCTGTGTGTGCGTGTTTGCGTGTGTGTGTGGAAGAGGAACAGATAAAGAGCATGATACAGACAGAGACAGAGAGACACAGAGAGACCCCAAGTGCACAGTCAATGAGCTCCTACAGCTAATATCATTTCACATTATTGAATGCATATTAAGGCAGAGAGACCTTGTCAGTTGAATAGGAGCACCAGTGCTTATATCAAATTCTGATCCGCCGTCACGGCCATGTCTAAAAAATGCCGGGAATGTTGTCAGCATATTGAAAATAAGTGCATACCATTCTTCTTTGCAGTTTAAGATCAAGGGCTATACATTACTGCTACTGACACAGCAGAATGAGGTCATTGTGCATGTTGTAATTACAGCTGGGTAAACACTGCTCTCTGCTGCAACACTGGAAACACAGAGAGCTTGCAGTACTAATAAAGAAAAAAGAGGACATTAACTAATGACTTGGATCTCTCTGCAAACAGTATTGGAATTTTTTTAATACATCAATGGGGATAAATACATTGAACAAAATGATTATTGGTGTTTGTTATGATCAATTCCAGAGCAGTGTAATACATTAAAATCAATGCACCGGGTGTTTTTACTGTTAGATAACATGCACAAAAAATAAAGACACCCCCTGACCTATTCTTCTATCACCAGTTTACTATGGTATTATTAATGGTGTTTACATGCAGCGAACAGAGCATATAATCAAATTTTCCATATTTGCATGTAGAAAATGTCACATAGAAGAGACAGCTTCATTTCCCCCCTCACAAACTCTGCAGAGCTGTAGAGCCAGTGGGTTTTTATTTTTGTTTATAAAAAAATTATTAAACTCTGCATGTTTGCGCCACTGGATCATCTGTAGTTTTCTTCCTTTTTATTAAATCTAACCCTAACTGAATACGTGGTGCTTATTGGTTCATGATGAACTGTTGATAATCCTTTTTTTGGTTGTTAATCCTGCTTTTTTAGGGCCTCTCTCAGCAGTTGGATTTTCTCTCATCTGCAGACTCGACAGCATTGAGCCCAACCTCTGATTAATTATTAATTGTGTGATTAAAGTCTGCATTGGTGTGGGTGTATGTGTGTGGCTTGCAAGGAGGGGTAGAGGAATGCAACTTGCAGTCTACTTTGCATTATGTACAACTTTGAAATTCCTTTTTTTAGGCATTTAACTACAGGCAAATCATCGGGCATGTACAATACCTGTAAGAGCCGAAGAAGGGAAGACAGGGTATTGTTTTATTAAGTAAGGAATGCCTGGTTGAGTCTGGCTCAGTTTTCTTTTGGCTGCAAGTCAGATCTTCTCTCTTTTTTTTTTATCTCAGTGCAGACATACATGGAGAGTTTGACCAACATAGATTTCAAGGCTGATGCTGCTACCAATATTTCAGATTGAATCTGCTAATAAATTATTCTACATGCCAATATTTAACCTTAAACTTCACAATTTTTCAAACTTTTCTGAAAATGGATGAAATGGGAAAAACTTGTGAAATTAGAATCAGTTCAAGCGCTCTGCACCGAAAGTTTTGTATTTATCATTTCTGCTTATCCAGAGATGATGCACTGCAAAACTCTTGATCTTATAAAGCCATGTCTGTCTATCTTTGAGTGATTTTCCTAAAACAAATGAATAGCTTAACCAGTTTCACATAGAAATCACATTGTTTCGAGTGTCTGCATCTTGAAACAAGAAAGAAAACGGCAGATTTCTGCTTGATTTCATAAAATAGTTTGAACAATGTGATGCCTTTGAGATAAACAAGATGGCAGATTTGTTTTAGCTGTTTCAAGAAAATTTAAATGTAAGGACTAAACTACAAACAAAAACAACTTGATAAGATGAGACAGAGGTTTCACTAGTACAGCCAGTATCTGTCTTTTAAATAAAAGGCCTATAGCAATCCAAAATTGACTGCAACATGAGTAACCCACACCGCAGTTACAATTCATCTGGGTGAATCTAAAAACAAAACTTACAGTCCATTATTGGTGTTAGAAATGCATTAATGTGAGAAATAATTTATTCATATAAAGTTACACATTGACTGAAAAAGTGTTTTAATAGTTGATTAATTGTTTAAGTCCTTTTTAATGCAAAAATTCCAGCTATTCCCTAGTTTCAGCCACTCCGTTGTGAGGATTTGCTGCATTTGATTGTGTTATTTGATAGTGAAAGGAACATGTTTTGGACTGTTGATCTAGGAAACAACAATTTAATGACTTCACCTTGGGCTTAAGGAAATTGTGATGGGCATTTTTCACCATATTCTGTTGCAAATAATCGTTACTTGAAGCTGTATGTGGTATAATGAAATACAGCATAATATAGTTAGATCCCTTTCACAAAGCTTTCTGTTCAGATCCTGTTTAATATCTGAGAAACGAAATGGAAGAAAACCATCTCGGTGTGGTGTCAACATTATAGGTTATTTAGATACATGTATTTGTGCGTATATGTGGTTCTGCCTGCTCTCTGGCCTCCTCCCCTGGCTCTGCCATTGGAGGTGGGTCACTTTAAGCATTCAAGCCCCAGAATGTGCAGCTCACTTCTAGCAACGAGGCACATTGCTGCAATGCAATAAGGGAAAACAACACTTTTAATAATTCAGGCCCTGAGACCGTGAGGGGGTGAGGT